AAACCCGGTAATATTATATTGATTATTATAAATAAATAGACAATTTTTACTGTAAAGCCACCTTTTGTGTTTAACAAAATATAAATATTGATAAGGAAATCTTGAAATTATTTTTTATAAACACAAAGGAAATTATTATAAAAAAAAAAAGATGAATAACAACAATAATGTAGGTCATTATAAAATGAAATAAATTTTTATTTTTAAATACAATGATTATGAATATAGATGTAAGCATTACAAACATTATAAGACACATAAAATGTGAATAGAGTCTTAAAGTTTTCAAAAATATTCCACTGATAGGAAGACAAGTTTTCTAATATTGAATGTAATTACTTTGGTGACATTCAAAATCCTTGAAATCTAATCTAACTAATCAGCAATTGATTAAGGTGGGAGATTGAAATTAATCAACATGGTTCGAAGGACCATCATTTAATTTGTTTTAGTATTTTGAAGAAAGTACTGAACTAAAAGTAGAACTGAACTTGAACTGAATTAGAACTGAACTAGAACTGAACTAGAACTGAACTAGAGCTGAACTAGAACTGAACTAGAACTGAACTAGAAGCGGAACTAGAACGGAACGAGAAACTCGAACTAGAACTGAACTAGAACTGAACTAAACTGAAGCTAGAACTGAACTAGAGACTGAACAGAACCTAGAACTGAACTAGAACTGAAAACTAGAAATGACTGAACTAGAACTGAACTAGAACTGAACTAGAACTGAACTAGAACTGAACCGATAATTTGATTTGTTTTAGTATTTTGAAGAAAGTACTGAACTAGAACTGAACTAAAACCGAACTAGAACTGAACTAGAACTGACTAGAACTAGAACTGAAGTAGAATGAACTAGAACTGAACTGAACTGAACTAGAACTGAACTAGAACTGAACTAGAACTGAACTAGAACTGAATAAAACTGAACTAAAACGAACTAGAACTGAACTAGAACTAAACTAGAACTGAACTAGAACTGAACTACAACTGAACTAGAACTGAACTAGAACTGAACTAGAACTTAACTAGAACTTAACTAGAACTGAACTAGAACTGAACTAGAACAGAACTAGAACTGAACTAGAACTGAACTAGAACTGAACTAGAACTGAACTAGAACTGAACTAGAACTGATCTAGAACTGAACTAGAACTGAACTAGAACTGAACTAGAACTGAACTAGAACTGAACTAGAACTGAACTAAAACTGAACTAGGAGTGAACTAGAACTGAACTAGAACTGAACTAGAACTGAACTAGAAACTGAATTAGAACTGAACTAGAACTGAACTAGAACTGAACTAGAACTGAACTAGAACTGAACTAGAACTGAACTAGAACTGAACTAGAACTGAACTAGAACTAAACTAGAACTAAACTAGTACTGAACTAGAACTGAACTAGAACTGAACTATAACAGAACTAGAACTGAACTAGACTGACTAGAACTGAACTAGAACTGAACTAGAACTGAACTAGAACTGAACTAGAACTGAACTAGAACTGAACTAGAACTGACTAGAACGAACTAGAACTCTAGACTGAACTAGAACTGAACTAGAACTGAACTAGAACTGAACTAGAACTGAACTAGAACTGAACTAGAACTGAACTAAAACTGAACTAAACTGAACTAGAACTGAACTAGAACTGAACTAGAACTAACTAGAACTGAACTACAACTGAACTAGAACTGAACTAGAACTGAACTAGAACTGAACTAGAACTTAACTAGAACTTAACTAGAACTGAACTAGAATTGAACTGAACTGAACTTGGACTGAACTAGAACTGGACTAGAATTGAACTAGATATAGAACTTAACAGGAGATTATAGAGATTATGCAGCCTTTGCCATCTTAAAGTTTACTAACTTTTTGACATTACATCTTTCCTAATAACTATTATTTAATAATTTTTCCTAAATTCATCACCATCACATTATTACTTTATTCTCTATAAAAATAAAGGTTATTTCCCTAGTTATAAATAAAAAATTTCCCATAAATCTTTTTTAGTTTTATTACCTGCACACTCTCAAGTAAAAATTCTATTTAAATAAATTTAAATAATATTATAATAGTTAATTATAAAGAAAGCGTAATATATAAAACAAATGTTGCTAAATATTTTCTACTATTTCATTTATTAGCAGTTAAATGTTAGAAATATATTTTTGCAAAATCAATATTTAAGTTAAATTTATTTAAGTTATTAAATAAACAAACAAATAAATAACAATATTAAGTTGTTTATTTGTTTTCTTACAAGTTGACAAATAAAAGATTAGATTTGCTAAACTTGACTTGATTGATATTTATGGTGTGGATATCATTTCAAGTGTGTAGGGAAATATTGAGTACTAAAATAAAAGATAAATTAAAAGAGGATCTTGAGAAAGATCAGGAGTAGTTGTAGTTGACTTTATGTAAGTTTTAAGTTAGAAAATGTTAAAAATTTTAGTCTAAAAATTTAATTTAATTTAATTCTAAAAAAATCTCCTTAGAACTAATTTTGTACAAAAAATATTTGTCAAACAGAAACCTCAAAAATTATAAACTTTTTATGAAAAACAAATTCCATTTTACTTACCACATCTGTACCCGACAGTGCTGTCAGTATACGCATTTCCCAAAAATGCAACATACCAGCTGCTAGCGGTTGTTCTCCTCTCACAACTGCCGTGCCCTGTGAATAGGTGGGATGGAATGTAACATCTTGTCCTTTAATCACTGTATCCGATTCCGGACACTCATACCAATTCCAGTGTACCGTATGAGTGGCAGGATCATCTTCACCACAACGACATTTAATCATATCAGGTATATGACCTTTATAACAGGCCACTGCCGTTGTCTTGGGAAATTCACAATCACAATAGGCAGGACAGGTGGAAGATAAGCGGGAGTAACCATTGGCACGATAGCAAGGATGAGTAATTAAAATCTCATCATCATTATGATTATTATGAGGCATATTGTGTCGATTGTGTAGGTGTTGTTGTTGCTGCTGTATTAGCCAATTTGCTGTTAGCTGGGCAGGAATTTTCCAGTTTGCTAGTAGTGGCCTTCTCGTACGTGGTACATAAAAGGTAAATGCTAGGGAATGGGTTAATAAACTTAGTAATTGACCCGTTTTGAAGGCTGTTTCTTTTCTTTTTAACGATTTATAGGTTTAAAATTGTTTATTATTAATTAAATTATAGCTTTTGTTATAAATTATTTTCCTTTTGTTTTGTTTTCTTATTGAAAATTCTTTGTTTTAGCTTTTATTGCTTAAGTTTTTTTTGTTTCTTTTAACAAGAGGACCCGAACCCGTTTGTATATTTATAGAAAATACATGCGCTACGTTAGCTGTCCAAGACTTGAGTGATACCACTGATTGAGTGTAGCAACTCTCGTGTGCTCTTTATTCACTTTTCTGTGTTTTTTCGTTATGTCTGGTCTAGTCTAGTTGCCGACTGTTGGGTGGTGATGGTGGTGGTAGTCGTGGTCGTTGTTTTTATCTGTCAGTGTGTTTGTTTGCAAGGCATGAATCAATGCATGCTTAATGAATGTAAACAATTGTTTTTGTTTATATTTTTTCATGGGAAAACTACTTAGAAAGAGGGGGTGGAAGGAGGATTGTTGCAGGGAATGGTTGTAGATGGTTTTATAGTTTTTTTCTTTTGCATAGTTCTACATAGAAGACTCTTTACAATTCAATAAAATATGACTAGAACTGGATTAGTACAGAACTAGAACTGAATTAGAACAGAACTAATAAAGTTCTAGATCATAACAGAGCTAGAACAGAACAAGAACAGAACTGTAAAAGAACTAGAGCAGAAAGAAAACAGGACTGGGACAGAACTAGAACTGAACTAGAACAGAAATAGAACAGAATTGAATTAGAAAAGAACTAGAACAGAACTAGAACTGAATTAGAACAGAACTAGAACAGAACTAGAACAGAACTAGAACAGAACTAGAAACAGAACTAGAAAAGAACTATTACCGAACTAGAATAGAACTAGAACAGAACTAGAACAGAACTAGAACTGAATTAGAACAGAACTAGAACAGAATTAGAACAGAACTAGAACAAAACTAGAACAGAACTAGAACAGAACTAGAACAAAACTAGAACAGAACTAGAACAGAACTAGAACAGAACTAGAACAGAACTAGAACAGAACTAGAACAGAACTAGGACAGAACTAGAACAGAACTAGAACTGAATTAGAACCAGAACTATTTCCAAACTAGAATAGAACTAGAAAAGAAATATAACCGAACTAGAATAGAACAAGAACAGAACTAAAACAGAACTAGAACAGAACTAGAACAGAACTAGAAAAGAACTAGAACAGAACTAGAACAGAACTAGAACAAAACTAGAACAGAACTAGAACTGAATTAGAACCAGAACTATTACCGAACTAGAATAGAACTAGAAAAGAACTATTACCGAACTAGAATAGAACAAGAACAGAACTAAAACAGAACTAGAACAGAACTAGAACAGAACTAGAACAGAACTAGAACAGAACTAGAATAGAACTAGAACACAACTAGAACAGAACTCGAACAGAACTAGAACTGAATTAGAACTATAGTTAGATAGTCAGTTTTAAAGGATATACATGAAATCCGAAGAAATACACCTAGGTCTCTATTAGGTCTGTTGTGCGCTCCTTAACCAGTGCCTCGTGTGGGAATCCACCACCAGCGGTCTACCAGACTAGAACACTAACCACTAACCTACCAGAGGCAACAATTAGAACCATAACAGAACTAGAAAAGATCTAGAACAATACCGGAACACAACTAGAACTGAATTAGAACATATCCAGTCCAGAACTAGAACTGAAATATAACTGAGCTGGAATTGATATAGAACTGAACCATAATTTAAACTGGTCTAATAGGCCTTTACATCCTCATATAACATCTCTAAAGGCTTCAAATTATGTTTACTGTAGGGTTTTACCTTAGTCGTACTAAATTTCTCAATTTTCTTTTACATCTCTTACATATGGATTCTATACACCGGCCCTTACATTTGGCCCAGCACTCTTTTACTCATATTTAATATTTTTGCAATTTTAAAATAAAATTTTCATAAATAAACACAATTTATATTAAAAAATAATTAATTTTACACAATTAAACACAATTTTCTTAAAATTATTAAAATTTTCTTTAAAAATGCAACCAAAACTTACAAAAATGCAGATTATTTTATTTTCTCACAGCTGTCATTGAAATAAATGAAAACAAGAACGAAAGAGAAAATGAGAAACAAATGGGAATGTAAACATTAACAGGGTTGTATAAATTACGCACTAAAATACGAGTTGTATTTGTTTATCTATAGAAATAACAGTGTAGGCTGGAAATAATAAGGAAAGGTGAAAGATTTTAAATAATTACTTAATTAAATTAGTTTCTTTTCGATTTTTTTAAATAAAATAGCGCAATTTTGTAATTTCCATGATATTTATTTAGATTTTTGTTTCTTTTTTAACTATTTGCAGGTCACTTCTATCAAGTATGTGTTAAAGAAATCAGCAAATTTACAAGGTAATGAATTTTTAATATTATTTTTATTGGATTTCGGAATAATAAATAAATAAACATTTATACATAATAGCGAACTTATATTTTGCCCATGTATTCATAATCAAGTTTCCGTACAATAACTTGTTTATAAACTCTTGATAAAATAAAAATTTGATTATAAACTAGGACCTAACTATTTATGTGAAAATTATAAATCTATAAAAGTGTTCCTATAGAAAACTTAATCAAACATTTATTTACTTTTCTAAAGAAAAGTTTGTAAAAAAGTCAAAGAAAAGTTGATCAAGGAAAAGCAAGAACTTTATCAAAAAGGGATCTACTTTTCTAGAGAAAAGTTGATCAAAAGTGATCTGTTTCTCTAGAGAAAAATTGATCAAAAACTTTTCTTGAGAAAGACTGATCAAAAAGTGGTCTACTTTAGGGTTCTATAATTGAAACGAAAAGTCGACTTTTTGCATTTAGTTAAAAGTCGACTTTTTGCATTTAGTTAAAAGTCGACTTTTCGACCTTTCGACTTTTTCCATTTTATGAAAAGTCGATTTTTCGACTTTTCGACCTTTTTCATTTATTTAAAAGTCGACTTTTAGACTTTTCGACTTTTAGTATTTTATAAATGGTCGACTTTTCGACTTTTCGACTTTTTCCGACTTTTCGACTTTTTCCGACTTTTCGACTTTTTTCGACTTTTCGACTTTTTTCGACTTTTCGACTTTTTTCGACTTTTCGACTTTTTCCGACTTTTTTCAACTTTTTGACTTTTTCCGACTTTTCGATTTTTTACGACTTTTTGACTATTTTCGACTTATTTCGACTTTTTTTCGACTTTTTTCGACTATTTTTTACTTATTTTGAGTTTTTCCGACTATTTTAGAGTTTTTGACCTCTTTTCCACTTTTTTAAAATATTCGACTATTTTCGACTTTTTCCGAATTTTCGACTTTTTCCGACTTTTCGACTTTTTCCGACTTTTCGACTTTTTTCGACTTTTTTCGACTTTCTTCGACTTTTTTCGACTTATCGACTTTTTTCGACTTTTCGACTTTTTTCGACTTTTCGACTTTCCGACTTTTCGACTTTTTTCAACTTTTATTTACAAAGTCGACTTTTCGACTTTTTTCATAGACGATAGTCGAGTTATCGACTTTTTTGGAACAAAATAGTCGACTTCGACTTTTCGACTTTTTTCGACAAAAAGTCGATTGTTCGATTATTCGAAAGTCGATTTATAGAACCCTAGTCTACTTTTCAATTTCTTATAAGAAACTGCTTTTGTAATGTAACCTTTAAAATATTCGGCCGGTCAGTACTAAACAAATCTGCTCTGTTTTCCACTTGAAAACTAATACTGAAAAATGTGTTGCCTATCTTTAGGATGATGAAAATTGGAATTTAGTTTTTTGTTTAGAAAAAGTAACGTTTTTTAATCATTCAAAATCTAAATAAGTAGTAATAAAGTTTTTTGATGAAATTTTTAAAAGCGATTTCTTTTATGCCAAAAGGTTCTTAATGTATAATATATATTTAAAGAAATTGTATTATTACCAACATGTGAACACCCAGCTCTAGTGTTAAAGATTTTTAATAAAATATTTCAAAGTAAATTTGTCTTAAAACTCAATCCTTTTTCAGTTAAAATTCTCTTTATAGCTTTATTTTATTATAAGAAAATAGTTTTTCCCCAAAGATTCCCACGAAAATTTTTCTGTTTTAAATTTTTAATTATTTACACATGTTATTTTAATTTTATTACACATTTTAAAGTAAAGATTTTAAAACCTTTGACTTTAGGAAAATTACATTCCCACGTAATATTTTGTTTAAATCTTTCTTTTAATCAAACATTTACAAGAAATCACCCCCCTCTAAGAAGATTTTTCAAATAAACGAATTTTCTAAATACGAAATTTCTTTTAAACTAATTAGTGATAGAAAGGATTACATTAGGAAAAAGTAAAAAAAGGGGGAAAAATTTAAAGAAATTTTGGAGAAAAGATTAAAAGAAATTTTGTAGACCCAAATATTATTTAAGAATATTTAATAATAAATCTAAACAAATAGTTAAATTAATAATTACTAAAATTTGAGAAAAATTAATATTAAGTTTTATCCTCTATAGCTCTAGTTAAAATTTTGCTTCTTTTTTAGTTTGCGCTAAAACCCATGCTAAACCTCATGCCTTTAGTCCTTATTCCTTTTAGACACATTCCCAACACATTCCATTACCCTACCTCAAGCCAAAACGCATTCCTTTTTATGCATACTTTTACCTCCTTAAAATATTTCTAACACTTTTGTATCTCAATTGACACAAGTGTTCTTATTTGTATTGATTTTTTGTAGTAAATAAAACATAAATCTTAAATTATATTTGTCTTTTTTCAACCCTCAAAAATTAAATGTTTATTTAAAAATCTTTTCTAGAATTTTATTTCTCAACTTTCCCACGATTTGTTAGAAGCAATTGAGGGAAGGCAGGAAAGACACAACAGCACCTGTCTTTCAACAAAAAAGAGAATATGAATTAGAGCAGAATTAGAACAAAACTAGAACAGAACTAGAACAGAACTAGAACAGAACTAGAACAGAACTAGAACAGAACTAGAACAGAACTAGAACAGAACTAGAACAGAACTAGAACAGAACAGAACTAGAAACAGAACTAGAACAGAACTAGAACAGAACAGCACTAGAACAGAACTAGAACAGAACTAGACAGAACTAGAACAGAACTAGAACAGAACTAGAACAGAACTAGAACAGAAACTAGAACAGAACTAGAACAGAACTAGAACAGAACTAGAACAGAACTAGAACAGAACTAGAACAGAACTAGAACAGAACTAGAACAGAACTAGAACAGAACTAGAACAGAACTAGAACAGAACTAGAACAGAACTAGAACTAGAACTAGACAGAACTAGAACAGAACTAGAACAGAACTAGAACAGAACTAGAACAGAACTAGAACAGAACTAGAACAGAACTAGAACAGAACTAGAACAGAACTAGAAACAGAACTAGAACAGAACTAGAACAGAACTAGAACAGAACTAGAACAGAACTAGAACAGAACTAGAACAGAACTAGAACAGAACTAGAACAGAACTAGAACAGAACTAGAACAGAACTAGAACTGAACAACTGAACTGGAACAATGATCAGTTCCAGTACAAAATCTGTCATTTTTGTTGTCCAGTTCTAAGTATTAAGAATTTTTTGAAATGAAACATGAAATTAATAAAAACTGTCATGAACCCAAAGAAAATTTTATCTTTTTGAAATAATCCCTATTATTTAACAAATACCTGTTCTATATATCAAATCAGTCACGTTGAATCTATAGATTTTAGCTGCCTATTGGAATATTTTATATATTTGAATTAAAATCTCTTAACCCACCACCTTTTTACAAATACCACCACCCTCCCTTAAAACACTTAATATTTTATAGCCACCATTTTTTTAAACCAAACAAATAAGCTGGTCATTATTTTTCTTTTATACAAAATTCCATCATAAGCGTGTTGAACATGTGCATTAAAATCAAATACCAAAAAAAAAAAATCAGGTTCCAAAAGAAAATTTTCTCAAAACATTCCCACGGATTGAAAAACAAACTACCACCACTCACTCCACTATCAAAAACACTTTAAACAATCAAACCCAGTCCCAAACAACCCCTCAAACACCTGTGAGGCGTACATTATCATAAACAACCCCATACAGCTAATGCACACTTTACGCATGCGCAAAATACTTAAACAAGAAACACACACTTGATTACTCTCCCTTAATGTTTTCCTTTAACAAACACTGTTGGTCTTTCTTGTTTCTAAAAAAAAATCCCTACACAAATCTTTTAACCTCCACTATTTTTTTGCTTTTGTTAAACCTTAAACCTAAAATAAAGTTAAATGGGGAAATTCATTTAAAAGAATTCATATTCTTATTTAATTTCTACAATAACAAAAAACCCTTAAAAATTACTAAAACTATTCGTAACGGAAATATTTCCCACGATCCCAACATACAACTAGTATTTACTCTACTAGTTGTGTTAATAACGGGGAGCAGGTGTTACTCCTTCCACCAGCAAAACTAGAAACCAAAATAAATTTATTCTTTAACAAAAGTACGGACGGACACAAAACAATCAATGTACATTAATTTGAATCCTGCTTAATCATCATATGACATGCCTTGGCATAGCAGAATGGCAGAGTGTAAAGTAATTTTCAAGATCCTGGGAAAATATTTTCTCACGAAACCTCTAGATGAGCGAACAAGAAGAAAAAAAAACAACAAAAACTACTTTTAAATGATAAAGAATTGTGGCAGGATTGCAAGGAAGCTAAAATACTTAAATGTCCTTTTCTGCTTGAAATGAGTACGTAGAGTTTATGTTCAAACACATTCTACGCATGCTTAACACACGAGTTGGAAACGAGCCATTTCGGTTTAACCCAATAAAGTGACATAAGGGAACAATAGGCCCCATAAGTTTTTAGGAAAGTATAAGGTAATAAATATAAAGTTTTTGTATAACTTTTTCCTAGAAAAGTTAAGCTTTTTTGAACAACTT